TGTCTTGGTGCACATGGTGCATACATAAACACAGTTATAGAAGAAAGAAAAACAACCAAAACACAATGGAAACTATTTAACGTTAAGATATAGAAACATTATTTACATGAAATCTGGATAGACCAAAAAACTATGTGCAGTTGCAAAGTACTTAAAATAATAATAATAACATCGGTATTGTTATGGAAGCGGATGTGAGGTAGCTTGTGTACAGATTGTGCAGAAGAGGCAATACTTAAATGAAATAAATAAAAACTAGAGTTTGAGAGTTAAGATTGAAATAGTTTAACCCTCCTATTGTCTTCGTTCCCCCCCCCCCCCCCCCCCCCCCCCCTCCCCTCTCTCTTACTTTGGTGTTCGCGGTCAAATTTGACCGGTCCTGTTTTAACTGCTATTACATTAACACAAAAACCATTAATCATCACCACATTACATTTAACACCCTTTCAAACTGTAAATATTGCATCAGAATACTGGTATACATGAAGAACTGCAGTAAATATACAAAGAACAGACACTGAACATGTATTGGGTGTGCCAGGTGTGATCCATGTGGGGGGATGGGCACAGAAGAGCGGGAAATGTATCATTGTTCTGTGTGTGTGTGTGTGTGTGTGTGCCAGGTGGGATTCACATGGGGGGATTGGGCACATAAGGGGGGGACACACATCTAGAGTATGTGTGTGTGTGTGTGGTGTGTGTGTGTGTGTGTGTGTGTGTGTGTGTGTGTGTGTGTGTGTGTGTGTGTGTGTGTGTGTGTGTTATCTGATCCAGATGGTTACTAATTCCTTTTCTTTATGGCGGTCACCCGGGAACACCATGGTTGTTACAAAGTTGACTAACTCATCCAAAGTTCAATGAAAGTGGTGATCAGCCATTGTACATGTTCAAATGTATACTGTGAAGGATATCATGAAGCCTTCATGCAATTGAATGTAAAAGAAAAAAGTTATGATGAAAGTAGTGAATCGGTCAGATTTGACCCGAAGACAACAGGAGGGTTAAAACGAATATACCTCGAACCCGAGGATGTGTGTCGCAGATTATTTAGTTTCGGTTTAACTTATTATTCATGTTTCCTCCTTTAAACCCATTCCCATGAAACCCAGCACTTTTCTCTCGGAGCAGTTCCTCCTCTGGTGGAAAATCCCCAACAAGACAGAGAGAGACCAACTATGGAGTCAGATTTGGGTCAATATTCTAGCGCGTAAAACAAGCTACTCACGAGCGGAAAATGTGCTTTTACACGCGCATAAAATGACCCCCGCGCGCAGATTAAACCCCCGAGAGAGACAGCCCTCTTGCTTGCTCGCGGGAGTGTCAGCCTCGCGGAGTCTGTCTACGCACGCGTGAAAAGTTTCTGGCACTTTGGGGCGGAGCCACTGGACTTTGATTGACAGCTTTGACAGGGTTGCCAGGTTTGATAAATGCCTGAACTACCAAGAGCCGAGCAGTGACGACAGCAAAATCTAGGTGCGTACAGCAGACAGTAGCTAGCAGTTTTCGACGGACACAGCCCACTGAAAAATATATTGTTTTATATCAAATTAATGTATATTACATTACATTACATTGCATTTAGCTGACGCTTTTATCCAAAGCGACTTACAATAAGTACATTCGACCAGGAAGACACAACCTTGAAGAAAACAGAATCATATATATATATATATATATATATATATTAGCTGTACACTTTACGAATATAATAGTTTTTTATGGACAACTTTACCATTCAATCTCGTCCAACTGATTTTGCTGCCGTCACTGCTCGGCTCTTGGCAGTTCAGGCATTTATCAAACCTGGCAACCCCGGGTTTCCTGGCAGCTGTCAATCAAAGTCCAGTGGCTCCGCCCCAAAGTGCCAGAAACTTTTCACGCGCGCCTAGACAGACTCCGCGAGGCTGACACTCCCGCAGAGCCGCTCGCGGGGGTTTAATCTGCGCGCGAGGGTCATTTTATGCGCGTGTAAAAGCACATTTTCCGCTCGTGAGTAGCTTGTTTTACGCGCGAGAATATTGACCCAAATCTGACTCCATACCAACGGCCCGTCTACACTACAGGCGTCGAAAAAGCTTGAAGCTGGGCGTGTCTGAGGCTTGGCGATTTTTTGCGAGCAACGCGACCGACAACCAATCACATGAATCTCCCGCCCCCGACATACAAAGCAATAGCAATGTTAAAACGAAGTAAACTGGATATAAAATCCCCAAACAGGCGAAAACCTACCAGTTTCACCCACTGTCTCTGCCACCTCCCTCCATGCCTCGCTCCTCCGGTTTGTATCCCGGTAGATGAACAGAGACTGATCATACAGCACCGGGTGATTCAATACCGCTATAATGAATTTTCCCTCCATTTTTTTGAATATGAGGAAATGACCTGCGTAGTCTCTCCCAGCATACACGCGGTTTGATTGGCTAGCTTGTACTAGATTTGCATAAACGGGATTTGATTGGCTGACGCCAGCTTCGAGCAAGCATCGAGCCTCAAAAGTTGAACATTGTTCAACTTTTGACGCCGATAGACGCTCGCGATGCTTGCAATGCCTTGCCATGCTACCCACAATGCAGTTCGGCAAAGTTTGAAAATATCCTACGTCACCCCATTTATATGAATGGGCGAAGCGTTGAAAGCATTTTTTGACGCCTGTAGTGTAGACGGTCCGTAACCCAAAAACTGTTTCAGATTGTGGCTAAAAACACGTTTTTCTCAACAACAAAAAATAGCTGAAGACAGAAAAAAAAGTGCACAAATAACTTGTGTTTCTGTTAAAATAAAACCAAAAACATGAAGGGAAAGTAATAAAATAATAAATAAGTATTAGGATATTCAAACTTATTATTTCTACATTTAACTTGTCTTTTGTCAAAATATTTTCATGTATTTCTCCCAAAAATAAAACTCTAAATATTCAGATTTTCTTTTCAAACGTTCCGACTTTTATTACAAAATATTGCAAATTATTTTCACAAAAATATCCGTACATTTTAAACTCTGTTCCAGTCTCTGGATCTCTCCTAAGCCAACCAGCAGTTAGCATTAGCATCAATAGCATATTTAACCATAACCTTTCAGAGAGGGGGGTCTTCATGATGACATCTATTATTTAAGTATGTTCACACCCTGCAGGAAGCTCTTTCCATGACTCAGCGCTTCTTAGATTCAGAGATGGTAAGAGTACACACATCCTTCACTCAAGTAGAAGTACAGATACTTGTGTTTAAAGATACTCTGGTGAAAGTAGAAGTACTGACTAAACTTCTTTACTCAAGTAAAAGTAAAGAGATTTTGAAGTGTACTTCAGTAAAAAGTACCCATAACTAGCAGCTGTTTTAAAGAGTACCTGACCTCCCTTTATATTAATAGAACAATAATGTAATTGTTAGCTAATGAATGTTTCCATGCTGAACAACGGCAACATGACAACGTTTCCATTGGTCCCTCTTCTTTAGAGAAGACCAGGAAATGATGGATACACGGATCGTGTTCAAATCAATAGGCACGCAATGACTCTAAAGAATAATGATCACGCATCAAACACACATTCAGACTAAAGGAACCAGCTGTTTGGGAAATGAGAGAAGTAGAAAGTACAGGTATTTGAGTTCAAAATGTAAGAAGTAGAAAGTACAGGTATTTGGGTTCAACATGTGAGAAGTAGAAAGTACAGGTATTTGAGTTCAACATGTAAGAAGTAGAAAGTACAGGTATTTGAGTTCAACATGTAAGAAGTAGAAAGTACCGGTATTTGTGTTCAACATGTAAGAAGTAGAAAGTACAGGTATTTGGGTTCAACATGTAAGAAGTAGAAAGTACCGGTATTTGTGTTCAACATGTAAGAAGTAGAAAGTACAGGTATTTGTGTTCAACATGTAAGAAGTAGAAAGTACAGGTATTTGTGTTCAACATGTAAGAAGTAGAAAGTACAGGTATTTGTGTTCAACATGTAAGAAGTAGAAAGTACAGGTATTTGAGTTCAACATGTAAGAAGTAGAAAGTACAGGTATTTGAGTTCAACATGTAAGAAGTAGAAAGTACAGGTATTTGGGTTCAACATGTAAGAAGTAGAAAGTACAGGTATTTGTGTTCAACATGTAAGAAGTAGAAAGTACAGGTATTTGAGTTCAACATGTAAGAAGTAGAAAGTACAGGTATTTGTGTTCAACATGTAAGAAGTAGAAAGTACAGGTATTTGGGTTCAACATGTGAGAAGTAGAAAGTACAGGTATTTGTGTTCAACATGTAAGAAGTAGAAAGTACAGGTATTTGGGTTCAACATGTAGGAAGTAGAAAGTACAGGTATTTGTGTTCAACATGTAAGAAGTAGAAAGTACAGGTATTTGTGTTCAACATGTAAGAAGTAGAAAAGTACAGGTATTTGAGTTCAACATGTAAGAAGTAGAAAGTACAGGTATTTGAGTTCAACATGTAAGAAGTAGAAAGTACAGGTATTTGTGTTCAACATGTAAGAAGTAGAAAGTACAGGTATTTGAGTTCAACATGTAGGAAGTAGAAAGTACAGGTATTTGTGTTCAACATGTAGAAGTAGAAAGTACAGGTATTTGTGTTCAACATGTAAGAAGTAGAAAGTACAGGTATTTGAGTTCAACATGTAAGAAGTAGAAAGTACAGGTATTTGAGTTCAACATGTAAAAAGTAGAAAGTACAGGTATTTGAGTTCAACATGTAAGAAGTAGAAAGTACAGGTATTTGAGTTCAACATGTAAGAAGTAGAAAGTACAGGTATTTGAGTTCAACATGTAAGAAGTAGAAAGTACAGGTATTTGAGTTCAACATGTAAGAAGTAGAAAGTACAGGTATTTGTGTTCAACATGTAAGAAGTAGAAAGTAAAAAGTCCTAAGTAGTGGAGTAAAGTACTGATACCAGAAACATGTACTTAAGTACCAAAGTATTTGACTTCCCACCTCTGGTTGGATTACAATGGGCCCTGCAGTTTGTGTGTTAGTGTCCCCCCCCCCCTCCCCCTCCCCCCTCTCTCCTCCTCTCTCTGGGTTATTTTGGGATGTTCTTATCACAGCTGTTGTCTCTTTGGAGGCAGCGAGTCTTCAGACCCTCGACTCTCTTTTTCACCCCGACCCTCACTCGTGGTAAGACCCTGTGCTTCTTCATTAGGGACTTTTACTGTGAAAATCCTTACAAAATTACATTAAATCTGTGTTTGACGTGTTTTTTAAACCTATTTGTAATCGTTAAAAGTACTAACATGTGTTTGGAGTTGATGTATTTTCGAAGCAATGTTGAAAATGGGTCATTTGTTAACAGATTGGATAGAAAAACTACATTTTACGGGTTCATATTTATGTAAATTCACCAATTTAGCACCAATATGTTCCTCTTTCTCCTACAGTCATTAATTCCTGATTTAATTTATTTTGCATATGCCGACTTTAATCAAATATTGAGTACACTAGAGGTCACTTGTGTATTAATCAGCTTTCTGTACATGCACACAGTGACATTGCCGTGTATAAGTGTGTATTGGAAATAAATAAATAACTTACCCATATTAAGAAGTTCCTAAAATAGCCGTTGGTGTGAACAGGTGCCATGTGTTCACAGAGGGAGAGTGCACGTAAACAGGAACAGCCACTCAGACACCATTAAAGGGGCTTTAAACACACATTTAATCACTTTTTTAGTCAATAATTGAAATACGTCGTTGAATATTAGACTTTATTTGGGCCGAAACAGTGCTTTATGTCAGTAGCAGCTACAGGAACGCATGTAGTGGTGCTCCTTCGAAAGAGAAGACATATATTTAAAGCTGTTTTAAGTGTGCATGACTAAATTATACAATGGTTGTAACTGCTGAGGGTGATTAACAATTATTTAAAATGCCATAAATGCTTCGAAAAATTTAATCTGTTTTAAGATTTTACAATGTTATTTAATTGAATGTTTTATATCCCTTTGATATGAATAATATTTCTATTAATTTGTATTTATTTTCACCTTTTTAATAATACATTTATTTGTTCTTACTTTTTTCCTTACATCAACTCTTAATTAAGAAACTTAAAGTGGCTTCTTTTGATGAGTGAAAGGTGGGAAGCATTACATGTTTTGACTGCAGTGAGAGTTGCAAAATAAATATCGTTGTTCTTTGTATGATGACAATAAAGTTATATTCTATTCAGCACCCTCTGAAGCGCATCTGATCTCTCTCTCCCAGTTTACAGTAATGGAGGCTTGTCTCGCCCCTGGGTGTCCGGACCTGGACCTGACGGAGGACCTGGCTCAGCAGCTTGAGGACATAATCAGCACCTACCAGGAGGAGGAGTCGCCCCCTGACCAAAACCAGGAGGAGGGAGAGGAGGTCCCGCCCACAAAAGAGACCCCCGGGTCCCGAAAAGAACAGAAACTGGAGAAAAAGATGCTGAAAAACCTCGGTGAGAAACCCTGTTAGATCAGGTGTCTCTACTTTAAAGAGTCCTCTCCTGCTGATGTTCAGGTGTATATCAGTATGTAGTGTCTCTACTTTAAAGAGTCCTCTCCTGCTGATGTTCAGGTGTATATCAGTATGTAGTGTCTCTACTTTAAAGAGTCCTCTCCTGCTGATGTTCAGGTGTATATCAGTATGTAGTGTCTCTACTTTAAAGAGTCCTCTCCTGCTGATGTTCAGGTGTATATCAGTATACAGTGTCTCTACTTTAAAGAGTCCTCTCCTGCTGATGTTCAGTGTATATCAGTATGTAGTGTCTCTACTTTAAAGAGTCCTCTTCTGCTGATGTTCAGTGTATATCAGTATGTAGTGTCTCTACTTTAAAGAGTCCTCTCCTGCTGATGTTCAGGTGTATATCAGTATGTAGTGTCTCTACTTTAAAGAGTCCTCTCCTGCTGATGTTCAGGTTTATATCAGTATGTAGTGTCTCTACTTTAAAGAGTCCTCTCCTGCTGATGTTCAGGTGTATATCAGTATACAGTGTCTCTACTTTAAAGAGTCCTCTTCTGCTGATGTTCAGTGTATATCAGTATGTAGTGTCTCTACTTTAAAGAGTCCTCTCCTGCTGATGTTCAGGTGTATATCAGTATGTAGTGTCTCTACTTTAAAGAGTCCTCTCCTGCTGATGTTCAGGTTTATATCAGTTTGTAGTGTGTCTCTACTTTAAAGAGTCCTCTCCTGCTGATGTTCAGGTGTATATCAGTATGTAGTGTATCTACTTTAAAGAGTCCTCTCCTGCTGATGTTCAGGTGTATATCAGTATACAGTGTCTCTACTTTAAAGAGTCCTCTTCTGCTGATGTTCAGTGTATATCAGTATGTAGTGTCTCTACTTTAAAGAGTCCTCTCCTGCTGATGCTCAGGTGTATATCAGTATGTAGTGTCTCTACTTTAAAGAGTCCTCTCCTGCTGATGTTCAGGTGTATTTCAGTATGTAGTGTCTCTACTTTAAAGAGTCCTCTCCTGCTGATGCTCAGGTGTATATCAGTATGTAGTGTCTCTACTTTAAAGAGTCCTCTCCTGCTGATGTTCAGGTGTATATCAGTATGTAGTGTCTCTACTTTAAAGAGTCCTCTCCTGCTGATGTCCAGGTGTATATCAGTATGTAGTGTCTCTACTTTAAAGAGTCCTCTCCTGCTGATGTTCAGGTGTATATCAGTATGTAGTGTCTCTACTTTAAAGAGTCCTCTCCTGCTGATGTTCAGGTTTATATCAGTATGTAGTGTCTCTACTTTAAAGAGTCCTCTCCTGCTGATGTTCAGGTGTATATCAGTATGTAGTGTCTCTACTTTAAAGAGTCCTCTCCTGCTGATGTTCAGGTGTATATCAGTATACAGTGTCTCTACTTTAAAGAGTCCTCTCCTGCTGATGTTCAGGTGTATATCAGTATACAGTGTCTCTACTTTAAAGAGTCCTCTTCTGCTGATGTTCAGGTGTATATCAGTATGTAGCGTCTCTACTTTAAAGAGTCCTCTCCTGCTGATGTCCAGGTGTATATCAGTATGTAGTGTCTCTACTTTAAAGAGTCCTCTCCTGCTGATGTTCAGGTGTATATCAGTATGTAGTGTCTCTACTTTAAAGAGTCCTCTCCTGCTGATGTTCAGGTGTATATCAGTGTGTAGTGTCTCTACTTTAAAGAGTCCTCTCCTGCTGATGTTCAGGTGTATATCAGTATGTAGTGTCTCTACTTTAAAGAGTCCTCTCCTGCTGATGTTCAGGTGTATATCAGTATGTAGTGTCTCTACTTTAAAGAGTCCTCTCCTGCTGATGTTCAAGTGTATATCAGTATGTAGTGTCTCTACTTTAAAGAGTCCTCTCCTGCTGATGTTCAGGTGGATATCAGTATGTAGTGTCTCTACTTTAAAGAGTCCTCTCCTGCTGATGTTCAGGTGTATATCAGTATACAGTGTCTCTACTTTAAAGAGTCCTCTCCTGCTGATGTTCAGGTGTATATCAGTATGTAGTGTCTCTACTTTAAAGAGTCCTCTCCTGCTGATGTTCAGGTGTATATCAGTATGTAGTGTCTCTACTTTAAAGAGTCCTCTCCTGCTGATGTTCAGGTGATTATCAGTATGTAGTGTCTCTACTTTAAAGAGTCCTCTCCTGCTGATGTTCAGGTGTATATCAGTATGTAGTGTCTCTACTTTAAAGAGTCCTCTCCTGCTGATGTTCAGGTGTATATCAGTATGTAGTGTCTCTACTTTAAAGAGTCCTCTCCTGCTGATGTTCAGGTGTATATCAGTATACAGTGTCTCTACTTTAAAGAGTCCTCTCCTGCTGATGTTCAGGTGTATATCAGTATGTAGTGTCTCTACTTTAAAGAGTCCTCTCCTGCTGATGTTCAGGTGTATATCAGTATACAGTGTCTCTACTTTAAAGAGTCCTCTCCTGCTGATGTTCAGGTGTATATCAGTATGTAGTGTCTCTACTTTAAAGAGTCCTCTCCTGCTGATGTTCAGGTGTATATCAGTATGTAGTGTCTCTACTTTAAAGAGTCCTCTCCTGCTGCTGTTCAGGTGTATATCAGTATGTAGTGTCTCTACTTTAAAGAGTCCTCTCCTGCTGATGTTCAGGTGTATATCAGTATGTAGTGTCTCTACTTTAAAGAGTCCTCTCCTGCTGATGTTCAGGTGTATATCAGTATGTAGTGTCTCTACTTTAAAGAGTCCTCTCCTGATGATGTTCAGGTGTATATCAGTATGTAGTGTCTCTACTTTAAAGAGTCCTCTCCTGCTGATGTTCAGGTGTATATCAGTATGTAGTGTCTCTACTTTAAAGAGTCCTCTCCTGCTGATGTTCAGGTGTATATCAGTATGTAGTGTCTCTACTTTAAAGAGTCCTCTCCTGCTGATGTTCAGGTGTATATCAGTATGTAGTGTCTCTACTTTAAAGAGTCCTCTCCTGCTGCTGTTCAGGTGTATATCAGTATGTAGTGTCTCTACTTTAAAGAGTCCTCTCCTGCTGATGTTCAGGTGTATATCAGTATGTAGTGTCTCTACTTTAAAGAGTCCTCTCCTGCTGATGTTCAGGTGTATATCAGTAGGTAGTGTCTCTACTTTAAAGAGTCCTCTCCTGATGATGTTCAGGTGTATATCAGTATGTAGTGTCTCTACTTTAAAGAGTCCTCTCCTGCTGATGTTCAGGTGTATATCAGTATGTAGTGTCTCTACTTTAAAGAGTCCTCTCCTGCTGATGTTCAGGTGTATATCAGTATGTAGTGTCTCTACTTTAAAGAGTCCTCTCCTGCTGATGTTCAGGTGTATATCAGTATGTAGTGTCTCTACTTTAAAGAGTTCTCTCCTGCTGATGTTCAGGTGTATATCAGTATGTAGTGTCTCTACTTTAAAGAGTCCTCTCCTGCTGATGTTCAGGTGTATATCAGTATGTAGTGTCTCTACTTTAAAGAGTCCTCTCCTGCTGATGTTCAGGTGTATATCAGTATGTAGTGTCTCTACTTTAAAGAGTCCTCTCCTGCTGATGTTCAGGTGTATATCAGTATGTAGTGTCTCTACTTTAAAGAGTCCTCTCCTGCTGCTGTTCAGGTGTATATCAGTATGTAGTGTCTCTACTTTAAAGAGTCCTCTCCTGCTGATGTTCAGGTGTATATCAGTATGTAGTGTCTCTACTTTAAAGAGTCCTCTCCTGCTGATGTTCAGGTGTATATCAGTAGGTAGTGTCTCTACTTTAAAGAGTCCTCTCCTGATGATGTTCAGGTGTATATCAGTATGTAGTGTCTCTACTTTAAAGAGTCCTCTCCTGCTGATGTTCAGGTGTATATCAGTATGTAGTGTCTCTACTTTAAAGAGTCCTCTCCTGCTGATGTTCAGGTGTATATCAGTATGTAGTGTCTCTACTTTAAAGAGTCCTCTCCTGCTGATGTTCAGGTGTATATCAGTATGTAGTGTCTCTACTTTAAAGAGTTATCTCCTGCTGATGTTCAGGTGTATATCAGTATGTAGTGTCTCTACTTTAAAGAGTCCTCTCCTGCTGATGTTCAGGTGTATATCAGTATGTAGTGTCTCTACTTTAAAGAGTCCCATCCTGCTGATGTTCAGGTGTATATCAGTATGTATTCTCTCTACTTTAAAGAGTCCTCTCCTGCTGATGTTCAGGTGTATATCAGTATGTAGTGTCTCTACTTTAAAGAGTCCTCTCCTGCTGATGTTCAGGTGTATATCAGTATGTAGTGTCTCTACTTTAAAGAGTCCTCTCCTGCTGATGTTCAGGTGTATATCAGTATGTAGTGTCTCTACTTTAAAGAGTCCTCTCCTGTTCTCCAGGGAAGGAAGCCATGCTGCTGATGCAGAGTCTGAACAAACTGAACACTCCTGAGCAGAAGCTGGAGGCCATCATCAAGAAGCACGCTGAGCTGGTGAGAGCATCCCATAATAACTCACATCAGAGAGAAAACACACAACACAATGCTCCTCGAGGGTATGGTCCTGCTGGTAGAGGAGCGTCATAGCAACCGTGAGATGCTGCAGAAGAACATAACTGTGATCTTACATGTTGCGCTTCATTTGGAGAGGGATGCAGCTCGAACAGGAACCCAGTGTGTATGAATGGCAAGTTCTTCCATTTGGAACAACCTGCAGCCCGTGCACCTTTGCAGTTCAACAACATGTCAAAGATCATTGCGATGGAAACGAGGAGGTCCTTGAATCCGTCCAAAAATGTTTCTATGTCGATAAGAAGCAAAGTCCCTCATCGACAAAATGAGACCTCTGTTCTTAGAGGGTGGTTTCATTTTGTCGATTTTATCAACAAATGTGGAACCCCACGTTGGGCTCCACATTTGTTGGAGATGAATGTTCAAACTGGAGCCACAAACCACCAGGAGTGGAGTGCACCAGCTGGGCGTAAGCTGGGCGTAACTCTACGTCCGACGTAGAACCGAAGGTTAAGACCAAACTAAAGTTATGACTAGTGCACCACTTAGACTTAAGCCCTGTATGCGTTGCGCCTTGGTGTAACTTTTACGCCTAGTATGGAGCAGGCGTAAATCGGAAAGACAGACTAGTATCCATAGTAACGTAAAACGGGCAAGAAGGATATTAACGATGGCAGGGCGTCTTGTTTACAGGTTTAACAATGAAAGGGCATTAAGAAGAGTCTCAATTTCTCCTTCTCCAGCTCAATTTGTTCGTGTTCCACTCTCAATTTGACGGTCTCCACCTCCACACGAACGATTTCTTTCTCCGTCAGTTCCCGCTGTAGCTCTGACAAATCCCTCTTTCTCTTTCGGGGTGTGGCAATTTGGGATTCCCCTTGAGTCATCGCTGACGCTGTGGGTGTGGGAATTCCCTCTTCTCTGCGGTCCTCTGAGTCTGTAAAATGGTAAAATGGTGTTGATTGTTAACAAAAACTGTTTTGCGTGTATTCACGTGGACGCGCATCTTAAGACCAGGCGCAGCTACGCCCGAGACTAGTCAGGCTTGGTGCACTCGGTGTAAATTCGAATCACTACGTCGGACGTAGCTAAGCCCGACGTTAGAGTTAAGCCCTACTTTTTTACGCCCAGCTGGTGCACTCCACTCCAGGAGACAGGAGGTTAAACTTCTTTGTTTTATAGGGTATGTTGGTGGGATGGTAGCTGTTGCCAATGTTCTAGTAGAAAGGTGAAACAAACTGATTACAGCATTTGTACATTCAAATAATACTTCAATCAAATTAGAACTAAATTATATTCATTACTACATTGAACAACAAATGTGTTAATACCATTGAGGTTACTCAAGTGCAAACATCAAAATTACAAAGAGGATTCTACTTACATTGGTAAATCCAAAGACACATGGCGAACAGCTAGCAAACACTCAGTCCTGGTGTTTGAGGACAAAGAGGAGGAAGTCCTCATCCAGGCCTCTATTTATAGCCTGTGAGGAAGTTCTACCTGCTTCCCTACACAGTGCCTCTTGTGGACAGGAGGGTTACACACATGCAATTTCTAACATATACTGTGTGTGTTTGCAGCTCGAGGAGCACCGGGGGGAGCAGAAGCAGCTGAAGATGCTGCAGAAGAAGCTCCTGCAGGTGATGAAGGACAAAGACCAGCTGCAGAGCGAACACAGTCGGGCGGTTCTGGCTCGCAGCAAACTGGAGGGACTCTGCCGAGAACTGCAGAGACACAACAAGACCCTGAAGGTAGGAGGACACTCAGGAACACATGACAACAACTCAACGTCTTGCCCAGTATCGCACATCCAGTCAGAATGTGTCTCTCCTCCTGATAGAAGACATAGTAACTTCAGAAGTAACACTGCAGTGAGATAGAGGCTCTTGTTTTTAGACAATGCATCATCTTGTTAAAGGTCTCACGTCATGCTTCTCTGGTTCTGACCCGTCCCCTTGTGTTCTGTAGCTTCTGCATGTGAACGGTCTGCAGAGTCTCAAACCCTCAAAGTGCACCCTGTAGGGAGTAACACTCTGACACAGAGAAGACCTGTCTGTGCTGCCCCAGAACGCCTCGTTGGACATTTCTCTTTTTCCATTGTTTACTCTGGGTATAGTGACGTATTTCGGGTATAGCGACATAACGGCTCCGCAGATTGGTCCAAATTGACCAATCCGCGGACTTCCTCACACACACACACTCGGCGGGACGTTGCGAGGCTCGCTGCTGCGAGGAGCGAGACACTGGTGTGGGGTCGGAGAAACAGCGAGACACCGCGGAACTCAGCCTGCGCACACACACAAACTCCCAGCCAGGCTGCGGGTGTGTGTGTGTGTTCGGGCTGGGTTTCGCTCTGTCTCGCAGACGGCCACTGGGCTCACAGGGGGGGGGGGGCAGGAGCTCCAACAAGCCGTGTAGGACAGAGAGTGAATACACACTCTATACAGAGATGCTGTGAGAAACCAATGTGAATTTGGAACATTGAACAATGTGAATTTATTCTAGTAGACCTCAACAATGGAACTATGATCAGTGGAAATGGCCGTGACACGGGACCTTTGAGTCAAAACATCTTACTTTGAGTTGTTTCTCAGATGAAACACATATTTTTCTACATATTTATTAGAAAATCACTTTTGACATTTCCTGATTCTGGTCAAATATAATTCAAAATGAGCTCTCCAAATAATTACAAGATGTGATTTATCTAAATACCCCTTCTTATTTCTAGAGATCTCACCAAGCTAATGTTCACTTGTTCTATTGGCAGATTGTTGGATTTATTTCAAGTGAAAACAGCTTGTTTTCATTATTGTTTAACTTGTTTTTCGAGCAGCATTTGCTCCCGTGCATCTCAACTATGAGTTATTATTTAGTCTGAGTCTCGTGTCCAACAGAGCAACGCTGGTCTGTATCTCATGCTATTATAACACTCGAGTGCAATCCATTTAACTTAAGTTTAAGTTTCAAAATCTCTCTAATCTGGAGATCTGCTGCTTTTCTGTGTCTTATATTAAAGTGAATATCTTTAGACATTTAAACACATCACCTTGCACTTTGAGACACTGGGATGGACATTTTGCACACAAAACCATTAAAGTATGAAATAATCTGAAGACTAATCCATGTAAGAAATAACCCAGAGTGACCGCAGCGTTTTAAATCTGGATATTCGTCTCATCTAAATCAAATACAACTCTTTTTGCTTTAGTTTTAGTCATTAGAAAGTGCTTACATCATCAGATTATATTGAACACTTCACCAAACATCAGCTGCTGTCTCTTGATACCTTTGTTATCATTACCCTCAGTTACTCTGAGTCATTGGGAGCTCATTATACAAGTCTGGTCTTTTCTTAACTAAGTGAAGACGCTCCTCTGAAAGGTTTGTAATGTGAGCTGACTGAGTGAGATGTCGGGGGGGTTGAACACATGTCGTCTCGAGGAGACTGCAGCTGCCAACAAACATCAAACATCTCAAACTCAGGATCTAAACTCAGAGAATCATGTTGTTGTTGTTGTTGTTGTTGTTGTTGTTGTTGTTGTTGTTGTTTTGTTCAACGCATCACAGACAAGATGTTGTTTTGAAAGCATCAGATATAAAACATTGGAAAGAGTCACATGACATATACATCTGTTTGTGTTGGATGCATATTTAAGGTATATTTGTTGTTACCGTGCTTCTCCCTGCAGGAGGAGACGCTGCAGAGTAATACATAATAATAATACATTTGATTTAACGCGCCTTTCATGACAATCCAAGGACACCGTACACAGGTGATAGGGACAGGTTATTCAGGGACACAGCTGATAGGGACAGGTTATTCAGGGACACAGCTGATAGGGGCAGGTTATTCAGGGAAACAGGTGATAGGGACAGGTTATTCAGAGGACACAGCTGATAGGGACAGGTTATTCAGGGAAACAGGTGATAGGGACAGGTTATTCAGGGACACAGCTGATAGGGACAGGTTATTCAGAGGACACAGCTGATAGGGACAGGTTATTCAGGGAAACAGGTGATAGGGACAGGTTATTCAGAGGACACAGGTGATAGGGACAGGTTATTCAGAGGACACAGGTGATAGGGACAGGTTATTCAGGGAACAGCTGATAGGGACAGGTTATTCAGAGGACACAGGTGATAGGGACAGGTTATTCAGGGAACAGCTGATAGGGACAGGTTATTCAGGGAACAGCTGATAGGGACAGGTTATTCAGGGGACACAGCTGATAGGGACAGGTTATTCAGAGGACACAGGTGATAGGGACAGGTTATTCAGGGGACACAGGTGATAGGGACAGGTTATTCAGAGGACACAGGTGATAGGGACAGGTTATTCAGGGGGGACACATGATAGGGACAGGTTATTCAGGGGAGACACATGATAGGGACAGGTTATTCAGGGGAGACACATGATAGGGACAGGTTATTCAGGAAAGACACATGATAGGGACAGGTTATTCAGGAGAGACACATGATAGGGACAGGTTATTCAGGGGGGACACATGATAGGGACAGGTTATTCAGGGGAGACACATGATAGGGACAGGTTATTCAGGAGAGACACATGATAGGGACAGGTTATTCAGGGGAGACACATGATAGGGACAGGTTATTCAGGGACACATGATAGGGACAGGTTATTCAGGAGAGACACATGATATGGACAGGTTATTCAGGAGAGACACATGATAGGGACAGGTTATTCAGGAGAGACACATGATAGGGACAGGTTATTCAGGGTTCACAGGTGATAGGGACAGGTTATTCAGAGGACACAGGTGATAGGGACAGGTTATTCAGAGGACACAGCTGATAGGGACAGGTTATTCAGAGGACACAGGTGATAGGGACAGGTTATTCAGAGGACACAGCTGATAGGGACAGGTTATTCAGGGGAGACACATGATAGGGACAGGTTATTCAGGGGAGACACATGATAGGGACAGGTTATTCAGGGACACATGATAGGGACAGGTTATTCAGGAGAGACACATGATAGGGACAGGTTATTCAGGAGAGACACATGATAGGGACAGGTTATTCAGGGGGGACACATGATAGGGACAGGTTATTCAGAGGACACAGGTGATAGGGACAGGTTATTCAGAGGACACAGCTGATAGGGACAGGTTATTCAGAGGACACAGGTGATAGGGACAGGTTATTCAGGGTTCACAGGTGATAGGGACAGGTTATTCAGAGGACACAGGTGATAGGGACAGGTTATTCAGAGGACACAGCTGATAGGGACAGGTTATTCAGAGGACACAGGTGATAGGGACAGGTTATTCAGAGGACACAGCTGATAGGGACAGGTTATTCAGGGGACACAGGTGATAGGGACAGGTTATTCAGAGGACACAGGTGATAGGGACAGGTTATTCAGAGGACACAGCTGATAGGGACAGGTTATTCAGGAGACACAGGTGATAGGGACAGGTTATTCAGAGGACACAGGTGATAGGGACAGGTTATTCAGGGGACACAGGTGATAGGGACAGGTTATTCAGAGGACACAGGTGATAGGGACAGGTTATTCAGGGGACACAGGTGATAGGGACAGGTTATTCAGAGGACACAGCTGATAGGGACAGGTTATTCAGGGGACACAGGTGATAGGGACAGGTTATTCAGAGGACACAGCTGATAGGGACAGGTTATTCAGGAGACACAGGTGATAGGGACAGGTTATTCAGAGGACACAGGTGATAGGGACAGGTTATTCAGGGGACACAGGTGATAGGGACAGGTTATTCAGAGGACACAGGTGATAGGGACAGGTTATTCAGAGGACACAGCTGATAGGGACAGGTTATTCAGGAGACACAGGTGATAGGGACAGGTTATTCAGAGGACACAGGTGATAGGGACAGGTTATTCAGGAGACACAGGTGATAGGGACAGGTTATTCAGGAGACACAGGTGATAGGGACAGGTTATTCAGGGTTCACAGGTGATAGGGACAGGTTATTCAGAGGACACAGCTGATAGGGACAGGTTATTCAGGAGACACAGGTGATAGGGACAGGTTATTCAGGGTTCACAGGTGATAGGGACAGGTTATTCAGAGGACACAGGTGATAGGGACAGGTTATTCAGACACACAGGTGATAGGGACAGGTTATTCAGAGGACACAGGTGATAGGGACAGGTTATTCAGAGGACACAGCTGATAGGGACAGGTTATTCAGGGGACACAGGTGATAGGGACAGGTTATTCAGAGGACACAGGTGATAGGGACAGGTTATTCAGAGGACACAGCTGATAGGGACAGGTTATTCAGAGGACACAGCTGATAGGGACAGGTTATTCAGGGGACACAGGTGATAGGGACAGGTTATTCAGGGGACACAGGTGATAGGGACAGGTTATTCAGAGGACACAGCTGATAGGGACAGGTTATTCAGGGGACACAGGTGATAGGGACAGGTTATTCAGGGGACACAGGTGATAGGGACAGGTTATTCAGGACACACAGGTGATAGGGACAGGTTATTCAGGACACACAGGTGATAGGGACAGGTTATTCAGAGGACACAGCTGATAGGGACAGGTTATTCAGGAGACACAGGTGATAGGGACAGGTTATTCAGGAGACACAGGTGATAGGGACAGGTTATTCAGGGTTCACAGGTGATAGGGACAGGTTATTCAGGGGACACAGGTGATAGGGACAGGTTATTCAGGAGACACAGGTGATAGGGACAGGTTATTCAGAGGACACAGGTGATAGGGACAGGTTATTCAGAGGACACAGCTGATAGGGACAGGTTATTCAGGGGACACAGGTGATAGGGACAGGTTATTCAGAGGACACAGGTGATAGGGACAGGTTATTCAGGGGACACAGGTGATAGGGACAGGTTATTCAGGGCACACAGGTGATAGGGACAGGTTATTCAGAGGACACAGGTGATAGGGACAGGTTATTCAGAGGACACAGCTGATAGGGACAGGTTATTCAGAGGACACAGCTGATAGGGACAGGTTATTCAGGGGACACAGGTGATAGGGACAGGTTATTCAGGGGACACAGGTGATAGGGACAGGTTATTCAGAGGACACAGCTGATAGGGACAGGTTATTCAGGGGACACAGGTGATAGGGACAGGTTATTCAGGGGACACAGGTGATAGGGACAGGTTATTCAGGACACACAGGTGATAGGGACAGGTTATTCAGGACACACAGGTGATAGGGACAGGTTATTCAGAGGACACAGCTGATAGGGACAGGTTATTCAGACACACAGGTGATAGGGACAGGTTATTCAGGGACACAGGTAATAGGGACAGGTTATTCAGAGGACACAGCTGATAGGGACAGGTTATTCAGGGAACACAGGTGATAGGGACAGGTTATTCAGAGGACACACATGATAGGGACAGGTTATTCAGGGGGGACACATGATAGGGACAGGTTATTCAGGAGAGACACATGATAGGGACAGGTTATTCAGGAGAGACACATGATAGGGACAGGTTATTCAGGAGACACACATGATAGGGACAGGTTATTCAGAGGACACACAGGTGATAGGGACAGGTTATTCAGAGGGCACAGCTGATAGGGACAGGTTATTCAGAGGACACAGGTGATAGGGACAGGTTATTCAGGGGACACAGGTGATAGGGACAGGTTATTCAGAGGACACAGGTGATAGGGACAGGTTATTCAGGGTCACAGGTGATAGGGACAGGTTATTCAGGGGACACAGGTGATAGGGACAGGTTATTCAGAGGACACAGCTGATAGGGAGCACTACAGTGAGTAGGCTGATCTGACAGTCTGTCATCACAGATAGTTTGAAATGCACCATATATTAAAGTGATCACTTCTTCCCTCCTCTCAGGAGGAGACGCTGCAGCGCTGCCGGGAGGACGACCTGAAGAGGAAGGAGATCACGACGCACTTCCAGGGAACGCTGGGCGAGATCCAGGCGCAGATCGAGGAGCACAGCGGCAGGAACACCAAACTCTGCGAGGAGAACGGCTCGCTGGCCGAGAAACTGAAAGGCCTCATCACTCAGTACGACCAGCGGGAGGCGGTGAGCGACGAAACACAGCGACATGTTTCACTCATCCAAATACTAATATGTAGGCCCCCAAATTCACCACCGCTCACTTCATGGGGTAAAATACACGTTAGATTTAAGACTGTTTTGAGGGCCATTTGGAATTTAATGTAGGTCCAACTCTAAAATTAGCTAAATGGAAAATATCATGAATTACTTTCTACATTTTTCCATTTTTCATTGCAACGTCAAACATGACTTTTGCTCAGTGGTGTAAGGTAACTAAGTAGATGTACTCAAGTACTGTTCTTAAGTACAACTCTCTGGTACTTGTACTTTACTTGAGTATTTCCATTTATGCTAATGTATACTTACTTACTTACTTTTACTCCACTACAGTTCAGAGGTACACGGTGTACTTTTCCTCCACTACATGTATTAATACCTTTAGTTACTTCACAGATGTGGATGAATGATGTGAAATCTAATCAAGTGTTAAATCAGACTTTAGTTCCACCTGGAGTAAATCCACCAGCTACCCTGCAGTATACAAAGCCATTCAGACTAGCTGCACCTTCACCAGCTTTGAGAACACTTTCATGATCAATCATTATAAAACATATCATATATATTATTCTGAAATGGACCAATCTGCACAACGACTACTTTAACTGTCGCTACTTTAGATTATTTTTAACAACTGTTTTGTATTGATTGCAATCAAATCCTACATTTGATCTTAATCTGCATGCAAAAAAGGGCATTATATGCACATCTGCTTTTACATGTATTACCTTCAGTATTTGATTTACACGATGTTCCCCTGCTTGTGCTTCAGAACCTGGAGAAGGTTTTCAAACACAGAGACCTGAAGCAGAAGCTGGTGGAGACGAAGCTGACGCAGAGCTACGCGATCCTGAAGGAGACGGAGGACAAGCACAAGCTGGAGAGAGAGCTCGTACGTTTACTCTTCATTTATTACAATATATCCCTCATTGCTCATCTCTTCCATGTTCATACAAATGCTAGAGATGGATGGATAGATAGATAGATGGATGGATAGATGGATAGATAGATAGATGGATGGATATAGATGATGGAGATGGATAGATAGATA